TAATAGCTAGAAATCTTTAAATAAATTAATATTAAAAATAATTTATACTAACTAATAATTATAAAATCATATGATAAAATTTGAAATATATAAAATTAAAAATTTATTTTTTAAAATCCAAATTTAATCACTATTAAGTTTAAAAACTACAAAATCATTATTTTTAAAATGAAAAAAATATATATTTTTTATTCAATTCATTTCTAATTTCAATGAAGAAATGAATTGAATAAACATTAATATTTCCAAATTTCCAATTGTTTAAAGTTAATTCCTCTAAATCCCTGTTTTTAAGAACTCTGGAGAACATTCTGAAAAAATAACTAACTCTATCAGTCTTATAAAACTCTTCAGCAAAGTCTTTGAGACTTTAATCAATGCTGAACTGGTAAAACATCTTACCTCTCATGATCTACTTTCTGACAAACAATATGGTTTCCATTTTGTCTGGTCTACTGCTGATGGCCATAACTGAATATGTATATGAAGCTCTTGATAATAATGACAAAGCTTGAGCTGTGGCTCTAGATATCTCAAAGGCATTTGACAGGGTTTGACATGCAGACCTTCTATGTAAGCTTCAGGGCGACAATATTACAGGATGATTATTTGATTTAATTCAATCATTGCTATCAAATTGAGAAATGAAGATCATCCTGAACGTGCTCTCTTTCAGCTCTGATGAGCTATTTTCCCTTGTGCCTCAACTACATGGATTTAAGCATGCTACTAGATTGACATTTAGGTCACACCTTTTACTGTTGAAACAGTGAAATGCAACTGCCACCTCTATTCCAACTGTTTCTCTCACATTTTCCAACAGTGGAACTCCCTTCATCTTATTGGTTCCCTGAGAACTACAAACTTTAAAAAATTTAAATACATTTTGTCATCTGTTGCCTTGATCCCCAACGAATTTTTTATCTTTATCTTATATATAATAATATTCTATACCCAATTTTTCTCTCACTTTCACTCCAAAAAAACCCCCCTGTGTACCAGTGGCACTCTGCCCTATATGGGGAATATATAAATATATATATATATATATATATATATATATATATATATATATATATAAAAAAATTTATAAAAAAATAAAAAAAAATAATAATATCAACTTATAGACAATGTAATTTTCATTTTTATTTTAAATAAAAAGAAAAAACAACCCAAACCTTACCCTTTTTGACCTTTTGAATGTAACTGAGATATTGATAATAATTATTAACCCTTATATATATTTTTTTTAAATAATATTTATATATATTACCATAGTAAATTTTATTTTTAATAATGAATATGCTTATAAAAAAAAACACGTAAATTTCAAGAATTAGTTATTTCAAAAAATTTATATATATAAGATGAATATAGAGCTTGGTACTTTAATTCAATTTAATTCAAATAATATATATTAATAGTTTTTATATATATTTGAAATAAATATATAGATATTTTGTATAAATGGAAGAATCATATTTTAAATAAATATATATATATATATATATATATATATATATATATATATATATATATATATATATATATATATATATATTTGGTTGGATAGATGTGAGTTTGTGACCCTGGGTTTCACGCTTTTAGCGATCGTCAGACAAACTGATTAATGTTTTAAAATTTTGGGTTTATGTAGATTGCGTGTATTGGTGTTATTGTGGAAGTGGTGGGGAAATTTCGTCGTTTTGTCATTCATCGTACTAACGCAAACATCGATGTATGCAGACACATATACATACTTGGTCGTCCGTCGGGACTCATACATATATAAACATATGTGGGCAGTTTCGGATATGACACATGTATGTATACGGGTGGTGTTATGTCTATACATACGCATTTGTATGTTGAAATGTTGAAATTTAAACATTGGAAGTGTGGCGGAAATGTCTCGTTAATGTCTCGTGAATGTATACATGTCATATTATTTTTTTTTCCGCTGAAAAATATTTCCTCGCATGTATGTATATACGTGTGGTGGGGTTTTGTAAAATTATGATAGGTAAAAATTATTATTATTTATATTTATTTTAAATTTTGAAAAAAAAATGGGGGGTTTATTTTATTTGTTATATTTAAAGTTGGTTATTTGTTTTTTTTTTGGTGACTGTGTATATGTAACAGGTAGAAATTTGTAATCCTTATTGGTTAATTTATATGGTGATGTTAAATATTCAATGTGCTGGGTGAGAGGGTAGTTCAATTTAATAACGGGTCTATATGATATGATGTGATAGTAATGTTTCAAGGGATTGGAGACAATGATAATAATAGTTATTGTAAATTAATAGAAATTGTAAATTGGTAGAAATGATTAGTAACGGTGGTGGGAGAATGATAAAACCATGAATGAATGTGGTTATAGTGGTGGTAGCTTGAACTAAAAAGTGGTTGTTGGTGTTTTATTTTTTTTTTTTATTTATTTTGTTATATGTATTAATTTATTTTGGTATAAATCCTGATAATAGGTATTCTGTGTAAAATTATGGTAGTTGAAGATTGCTATAATTTTTAATTTTTAATTACAAAATTATTATTGTTATTATATTAAAGCTGCCTGGTAATAGGTGTTTATTCTCATGGTTACATATGGAAATTATATCTGATCATATTGTTTTAAGGTATTAAATATGCTGGGGGAGTAATAAAGATTGTAGTGGATTTATATGTTAATAGTGGGTGTGATGTGTAAGTGATGGTGCTGTGTGTTGGTGGTAATGATAATATTGTTAGTTAATAGATATTGTAAAGTGGTAAAAGTGATTACTAATGGTGGTGCAATTATAATAATGATAGATGCAATTATTTTGATGGTATCTTGAAATTAAATTGTGATTGTTGGTGGTTTGTCTATTTTATCCGTTTGGCATGAATTCGGATAATAGGTACTTGTTCTCATGCCTACATTTGGAGATTATCTCTGATTTTTTGTTTAGTAAGTTCTTTTTGCGGTTTGTGTGATATTATTGCTACTTTTTTCGTGTAGGCAAAATAGGCATTTTTTTTTTCGTAATGTTGTTGTAGGCAGGGCTTTTTTTCAATATTTCCCAACTTATTGTTGGTGTGAGATGTTTTTGTCTTTTTGCTGCCATATGTATGTAGAAAGTGTTGTGCTGTTCGAATATTTCCTGTTGTTGAATGAAAGGTTTTGATTGTTATTCCTCATCTTGAATGGACCTTCGGTGACACAGATGTAGTGCATAGTGTTGTTGTTTGTACTTACCTTGGCCTTGTATATTGTGTTCGTAAGTTGGCAATTTCCCTGGAGTGGACATGTTGTTCTGTTTCTGCAGTTGCATATTGGATCCTTGGTTTCATTTTTGTAGGTTGTCATTTTTTTGTTGTGGCTTTTGATTATTTCTGTTATGTTTTTTGTACAGCTGTAACTGATCTTTACGTTATTTTTGTTAAATATTTTTGATAATTTGTTTTCTTCAGTGAAGTGTTTTTCTATTAAGTTTAGGAATATTTTGCCTATGTTCGTTTTAACAGTTTTGTTATATGGTGGATTAAACCAGATAATGTTTCTCTTTCTGTTTCTGCATTTTGGCTGTGGAGATATATATTGTAGTTGTTGTGTGTAACCACTTGCTTTTAGTGCTTTGTTGTATGGTGCTTTTTTGCTATTGAAAATGTGTATGTTAGATGAGTTTTCAGATAGTTTGCAGCTGATTGATTTTTGTATTTGTTTGATGATAGAAGGTGGATGGTTGGAGGATGTGTGTACGTAAGTTGGGGTGTCATTTTCTTTTTTGTATGGTTCATATGTGTTGTTGATTAGGTTAAGAGTGACGTCAAGGAAGTTTACTATTGTTGTGCCTGTATTTATCACTATTTTGAATCCAATGTTTTTTAGGGTGTTCACTATTTTATTCCTGAATTTGTCTACTTTGGGGCCATTGGATTCCCTTATTAAGATAAGACCGTCATCTCTGTATAATCCTGTGTCCTTTTTCTCCAGGATTCTGGCCAGGTATGATAGGATGAGTATGCCTACTAATTCGCATATTTCTGCTCCATTATAGCTACCCATTTTACGTCAAACAGGTTGTGGTTTTGTTCTTTTTGCCCATGGTTCATTGTTGTGGAACAGCAGGGATTTGCGGCAATGCTTGATATTTTTTAAAACATTAATCAGTTTGTCTGACGATCGCTAAAGCGTGAAACCCACGGTCACAAACTCACATCTATCCAACCAAATATGTTAGCTCTATCTCTGATATTGAGCGCTTTCTAATAAGTATTTGCATATAATATATAAATAATTATACATATATATATTTATTTATATTTATATACACTTTCACACACACACACACACACACACACACACACACATATATATATATATATATATATATATGTGTATATATATATATATATATATATATATATATATATATAAGCCTTCACCACTTGAAACAAATCATTGTCTTGGTTTTCTGACAACTGCATCTAATTAGTTCCACAAATATCCAGCTACTGCGAAAAACTCTACGAAACAGCATCAACTTCATCTTAGCACTTGGAATGTACAAACTCTCCAGGACAACAACTCAGTACAAGAAAGAAAAACAGTTCTGGTTGCATTTGTTTTAAAGAAGTACAAAAATTGATATAACTGCACTGAGAAAAAACCATCAGTCAACTACATGAAACAAGAAAGCAAAATAAGACATATAATAGTGTTCCTGATGCACTTGGATACAATACATTCTCCTGTACTGTTTGTGGTCTTTTGTGCAATTCTTGAGCCAGTCTCAAAAGTCATAGGCATGCAGATAATCATGGTTTCATGGTTACATCAAATTTGAACCTCATACATCAATATATATATATATATATATAACATATCTATATATATATATACATATATCTCTCTATTTCAACCATGAAATGAACAAAACAAAAAGTGACATAAAATTAATAGTAAAAATACTTAATCTTAGAATTGAAATAAATTTATTCTTTCATTTCAGGTGAAAAAATTGCCTGATGCTAACTCTGCCGGATTCAAGGAAGCCATTATCTATGAACCACTTGGTAATGATCGTATCAGGTAAGTGTATCAGAAATAGTATTCAGTAGATTGTTATATAATGTCTACCTTTATATATGACACTGAATACTGGATAGTTTCATTGTGAAGGAAGAAAGACTTGAAATGATGGAGATGTAGTTCTACCAATGAATGTTGACAATTCTATAGCATGGGACAAATGAATAAGTTTAAAGGTGGATAGAAATTACGATGAAACTGTTGGCACCAACCAGAAAGTAGTAGCTGAAATTGTGTGAACATTTATGATGTAGAAAGAAGGTCTGGCAAATTTAACTCACACAATGCATCTAAAGCAAGAGAAGCAGCAAGTAATGTACTCGACGATTCTGAGCAAATGGATAGAGGAAAATGACACAAAGAGGGATCATGAAAAAAATACTGCTGAAATCAATAAAATATAGGAAGCTGTGGAGAACCATGATCACCCAAGTCCTGAATGGACATGGTACATAAAGAGAGATTAATCTTTACTGTAATTGATGTACATTTCATATTTTGTTCTTATAATTTTCATTCTCTGAAAGATCTTTTTCTATTCTGCTTCAACAATAAAAAGAAGAGATTTTAAAAACTAAACATTATTTGAATTGAAGCATTTGATGACAAAAACCAATTATTAGTTGAGATTATACTCATACATGTTTTTAATCATTTAACCTCAAGCAAAGCAATAATGACACTAAGATTCAAGAAGTTACTGAGTGTGAAAGAATATGCTAAAATAGAATAACATTATTATGGCGAAAGAACAATAAAAGAATAGGAATTAAGAAGACAACATATGACGATTGACATTGCATTTAAATTTATGAAGATCAAAGCTGACTGAAAATCAATAGGCCAGAAATGAGTTCCACAAGTGAGAAGTTCAAGAAATTGGTTTGATTTGCTTTACAGCATATCAACCTCAATGGTTATTTAATTCTGACAATTTTATTGTTGGTAATATTTTTTCCTTCAAAAATGTATAGCTGTTAATATCTTTTTTTTCAAAAATGTATTGCTGGTATTAATTTTTTTTTACAAAGTATTTTTGGTATTAAAACCTATTTTTACACTTACATAGTGTTTTCACCCCAGTTTTGGGGTCAGCTATGTATGATGGTGTTCCAGGCTGCAGCCTGATCACAGCACCAAATACGATGGTGTTCCATGTCTGGTCTGCTTTGGTCACCACGTATGTTGGTACTCAGGGTCTATCCCGGTCTGTTCGCTTGGTCAGTATCGATCCTGGTATCAGAGAACAGGCTGCCAGCCTACTCATCGGTTGTTGATGGCATGACCTCTCTTACCCATGTTGTGATTTTGATCTTAAGAGAGTCAAGCCAAATTTCCACTGGGGTATCTTAACCATGCTAAGCCAAGGAGTTGAACATGTGCATACAAAATTGAAAAATAAAATGGACGATGCCCGAATAAGTCACGATATAATGTTTATATCAGAATAAAAAAAAAATAGTTCTTTCTTTGTTCTTTTTCTTCTTTTCCCAACCTGTTCTAATAATTGGCGATGGAACAAAAATTGCAGGTAGCTTCTTTGAAGAGTAGCCAAACTGGACAACTCGATTTACCTTCAAGTACTGTGATTTATACTTTCCAGTACGACACAAGGATTTTGTCGGAGTCTTTCTTCAGCAACAACTGGATTTAACTTTAAGTACTGTGGTTTGTATTTTCACTGATGACACAAGGTTATTCGTCGGAGTTTTTCTTCTTCAGCAGATAATTATTATTATCATTTTCATTAGTTTGGCAAGCAGCGTTATATAAGAAATCTCTTAACTCTGGGTCGCAACTTCACTCCGACTGCAACTTGCTGGCCCCAACTGTGACTAACCCCAACTCCCACTGGCCCCAACTGCAACTAACTCCAACTAACTTTGGTCCACGTGGGCACTTGTATTTATGGGTGTCCCCTTTCAACTGGTGTGGTGCAGGCGAATAGGTGGGTTTTATGCAAATCTCCCAAAATTCAACCAGTCGTTTTCTTTTGTTTTCTATTTCACATTTCCAATTTTGAAAGATCCCCCTCCTCCTTCAGGAGCCATCATATGATGTCAGCCTTTCTGATGTCATCTTCTGCCTTTACAATTGCTCACAATTATAATTTTTTTGTCAGCTAAAATTTCCCATGTTGATTTTTTTTTTCAGCAGATGACTTTAACCTCTGATTCATGACCTGCCATTTTGTGTCTAGCTGCATCACGTTAATGTAATTTTTTTCAACAAAATTCATACATTTGTTCCCATATCCTGGGAAAATAATTCTTTTTCTGACAAAAAATTAAAATCTTTTTGTTTTAACCCTTTTCGTTCGTTTAACCCTTTTCGTCCGTATGTCATATTAAATATTGTCACAATTTGCCCATAGTTGGGACCCTAACAGGTGCTACCACCCCAGGTCAGGGTGGACTTGGGAACACCAGCAATTAAGAGGTAGTTGCATGCTCCTCAAAACCTCCTGATCAGAGGCCTTGCTGTTGGACAAAGTTTATTGTCATACTCAGGACGGAAAGTTCAAGTGAAGAAACTGTTAGCATAGAACTTGCAGTTATAATCTAGCCATTTCAAATGTAAAATGATGTGACTTGCTACTAATCTCGTATTGCAGTTAAATTCATAAAATCTAGGTACCAAAGAAGTGAAAAGTTCATCAGAATATATGGAAGAACATGATGTATAAATTTTTATCTATCATAACAATGTTAGGCAAATTAATGACAGTGGAAAAATTTTCATTGTAAATGTAGTCCAGATGGCAGATCCTCAATGAAACATCTTTTCATTTTGTATAAGCATAAAACCAAATGCAATTCTTTTACTGTTAATTGTCTTGTAAAGGGGCCAGGTTGACAGTAATTTAAAACAACATAAAACAATCTTTTCAATGGGAATGATACAATTATTTTTTTCTGAGATGAAAGAAAGCATTTCCAAATTTTTGTGTCCTCTCATCAAAATTGATGGTAAATTTTGGTCAGTTAAGATTGACTTATATGTAGATTTAGCATGCTTCATCTTTGGAAATTTCTTCATCAAGATATTACACCAAATGCTGAGATTGTTGATAAAAAGATTTTAAAACAGACTATCCTTTATTTTGCAGTCATTCATAAAAGTCAGTTAACTTTCCCTCTTTGTATTTATCTTATAATCAGCAGGCCAAATGATATGTGAATAAAGGTTGGGTTTTGTCCAAAGGTCAGGGTTTGCCCGCCTTTATTCTTAGACATTATAAAGTTTTATTTAATCATTTTTAATTTCTCTAGACTTACAGGTGATTCTGACTATTACAATCATGGTTTGGTGAAAGTCTTCCGAAATAATTCCTGGGGCTATGTCTGTGATGATGATTGGGATATCAATGATGCAAACGTAGCCTGCAGACAGCTTGGATTTAATCGGTAAGTGACATTTTACATTGACTAATTTATTTTGGTTTTCCTTTCTAATGCAGATAAATGTTTAAATGTTTTCAACAGTTTCAATATTAATGGAAATTATTGGGTTGAGATAAAAGTTTTGAATGGTATCATTAGTATAGGATGATTAATAGGACAAGAACAAAATTCTTTGGATGCAGAAAACTAAGTTTATTTGTTATCTTCTGCCTCTGCTCTGCTCTTATCCACTGTCTGTATCTTATCAACCTTTCTCTTATCTCTTCTAATCTAAACCTTATACATGGATTAGATTCATATTCAAATAAGGATTACCCAAATATTTTCTACTGCATCCTCTCTCTCTCTTATCTCTCTTTTCCTCTCTCTCTTATCTCTCTTTTCCTCTCTCTCTTATCTCTCTTTTCCTCTCTCTCTTATCTTTCTTTTCCTCTTTCTCTTATCTTTTTTCCTTTCTCTCTTTTATCTTTCTTTTCTTCTCTCTCTCTCTTTTACTTCTTTTCCACTTTTTCATATCCTCCTTCTCTTATCTTTCTTTTCCTCTCTAACTTATCTTTTTTCCGCTTTCTCTTATCTTTTTCTTTTCTCTCTCTCTTATCTTTCTTTTCCTCTCTCTCCCTTTTCTTCTCTATTTCTCTCTCATCCTCTCTCTCTTATCTTTCTTTCCCTATCTTATCTTTCTTTTCTTCTCTCTCTTATCTTTCTTTCCATAAAGAGTTTTTAATGCTTTTCTATCTCTGCCTTTTAAACTTTTGCTCATTGTCACTTGATATTCAGACAGCAAGACTCTTTTTCTTTTCCCCACTCTCTCTCTCACATCTTTCTTCCCTCTCTCTTTTTCCTCTCTATCTCTCTCTTACCCTCCTTTTCCTCTGTCTTTCCTTTATCTTTCTTTTCCTCTCTCTCTTATCTTTATTTTCCTCTCTCTCTCTCTGTAAATATATGTATGACTGTCTATCTATATTTGACTATCTTCTTTCTCTCTCTCTCTCTCTCTCTCTCTCTCTCTCTATATATATATATATATATATATATATATATATATATATATATATATATATATATATGGAGGAGAAAAAGATATAATAATTATAATTTTAAACTTAATAGTGATTAAATTTGGATTTTAAAATTGGCAGTTTTTAATTTTAATATCAAATTTTATCATATAATTTAATAATTATTGGTTAGAACAAATTGTTTTTTAATATTACCTTTATTTTAAAGATTTGAATAGCTATTATAACATGACTCTGTTGTCAAGCTTTTTGAATTTTCCTAAACTTGTATTTTGATTGGTCATTCTAGCTTTTGTAACAGCGTTTTCCCCTTGCGAAGGATTGTTAATTAATTTGAAATTTTTAAAACCATTTATTTTACATTCAACATCATCACTTGATAAGACACTGAGGTTGTTGAAACAAAATGGCTATTTTTGTAGTGATTTTATAACATATTTATGTTATAATTTTTTTTAAATAAATAATTATATATATTTACTATGGTCAGTTTTACATTTTGCACCCATGTGTGTATAGACTAAGTATAAAAACTACCCAGTTTCTGCAACTAATGTTGTGGAGCTGTGACACTAGGGTTGGGACTCTTACATAGAAGGGGGTGGTGTGTGATTTCTCTTGATCTCACACGTTTCTTTTGTAATTCAGATCAATTATTTTTACAGTTTCAATATTAATGGATATTATTGGGTTAAGGCAAAAGTTTTGAATGATATCATTAGTATCCAAAATTAATAGAACAAAAAGAACAAAAATAAGTGCTAGCTGATCATGTGGAAATTCCGTGGGTGTTAAAAATTAAACTTATTTATTATCTAATGCCTCTTCTCTTCTCTCAACCTTTATTTGTATCTTATCAACCTCTCCCTTTTCATTTCAACTCTTTGTCAATTCTTGTTTCTTTCTAAACCTTATGCAAATAAGCAATACCCAAATATTTATAATAATAATAAATAAGGAATATAACATCATAAATAAGGAATACCCAAATATCTTCTACTGCATCCTTTCTTTTATCTTTCTTTTTCTCTATCTCTCTCCATAAAGAATATCTAATGTATCACAGTTTTTATGCTTTTCCATCTCCACTTTTCTGTATTGTCTCTTCATATCCAGACAGCAAGACAAGACTGTCTTTCTTATCTTTCTTTTTTTGTATATTTCTTTTCCACACCTGGTTTTTCTTTTATATGTATAAACCATTTAAAATTTTTCTTTGCCAAAATACTCTATTCACCTGGTCAAAATTTGTTCATTAAATTGATATTTTAATATAAAAACAAAAAACCCAAACCTTGATCTATAAACTGATTTCTTTACATATTCTAAAGAACCTCATACAAAATCTTATTCATACGAACCTGTTGATATCCTCAAAAAATCTTGTTGATCTATAAAAATAACAAAGAATACATATTCTGTTCAGTTTCAAAATATGCATTAAATTTTTTGAAAAAAAAAAACCCAACCCTTGATCTATAAACTGATTTCTTACAAAGAATACATATTCTATTCATATGAACCTCTCCTCAAAATCTTGTTGGCATTAAACAACCCATTGGAGTGTTGATATGCCGTAAAACAAACAAAACCCAAACCCTGATCTATAAAATGATTTCTTACAAAGAATACATATTCTGTTCATACAAACCTCTCCTAAAAATTTTGTTGGCATTAAATAACCTATTGAAGTGTTGATATGCCATAAAATAAACAAAACCATCCATCATCTTCACCCTAGCTTTCCCCAGATCTTTTCTTTCTTCAATTTATTATGTTGGTTTCTTGGTCAGAAAGCATAACTGATTGCAGATCAGAAGGAACAGATACTACACTTTGATCCTATATTTGCCTACCCACTACTATGGTGGGAAGATGCAATATATGGCCAGTCTTATGTGAGTATAACGTAACTATAAAAGCTGTCCAGTTCTCATAACCAGTGTTATGCAGACATAAAAATATTCTAACCCTACTGCTTTAGTGCATTGGGTGAGGTGCTGTCATCATTGGGTTAGGATTCCCTGAGCCATTCTTCTATTGTTAGGCTATTGTAGTATATTGCTGTTGGGCTCAAATAAGGTGACAAACACTTATATATAAATATCTTTATGGTTTGAGTTGCAGTGAATGGGTGGATTGAGAGAGAATCATTGAGTTTAGGATTGTGCACAAGGGAATTGACGGAGACAAATCTTCGGTGAACCTCTAGTCAACCTCTTTGACCAGACTAAGAATTGGACCAGTTTTATAACATTTAGGCATCTACACAACTTCATGTGGCTCTGTTTGCTTCCAGTATTTCACCTATGCAAGCATGTATTTCTTTCCACTCAGGACACCTGTGTGTCCTCTTTATTCAAGATCAGGACACCTGAGCATCCTGTTTATTCATGGATCAGGACACCTGTGTATCCTGTTTATTTTACCCACCAGATGCATTTCGTTTTATACTATCACCAGTTTCAATTTCCACTCACACTCTGATATAGCAGAAGCAAGGTCAAAGGTCTTTCCTCAACTGATATCCAACACTATGAATGGGCCAAAAGGAAAACATGATGCTGCATCTCACAATGTAGTTTAGGCTCACATTAGCAGAGATGGAGCAGATACTTGTTATTTACTCTTTGGTGCAATGGGGGAGATACTGCTGCAGGGTTGAAATCCCCAGAACTAGGTGTGCCTTGATAATATTTTGTATGTTATGTCCAAAGATAGAAACACAAGAGATAAAAAGAATAATTAAAATCTTTTTATTTTTATATTGAATTATATAATCTTATTTTTGTCACCATAGCATGACATAAGAAGTTGATAGATCAGGGACTAGGAGAGATAGCAAAAAGGATGCTGTGTCCTTTTGTCTGATGTCACTTCTTCCAATGTCACTTTGTCCATGTCTTTTTAGTCCAATGTCTTTTTGTTAAATGAATTTTTTTGTTCGACAACTTTTTGTCCAATTTCAAAAGAGTGTTTGAGAAAATAAAATCTTGTTATAGGATTGTCATTACCGTTTTCTTTCCTTTTATGTTAAAAGTTGTTATTGTCTCATTTATACCTTACTAGCAACCATACCCAGCTGGTCAATCAGAAAAAGCATTCAATTAGAATGGAGCAAAAACAGCATCATGTTCAGATGTAACAGAATCTATCTTCTTCAATTACTTTAAAGTACTTTCATTAAAAAATATTTTGAATTAATGCAGTTACTGATATAACAGAAGTAGTCTGTATTTATTCAATCAAAGTTAGCTGAGGACATGAAGGGGTAAAACAGGCAACATGAAGACCCACTTCAGACCACATTTAGTTTGGAGTTTTTGAAATTCAATTTGTCAGTGTGCTACCAGAGGATACATTTATAAAGCAATTGTTAAGTTTGATGAAAATTGTTTGAAAGTTCAACAAAAAATAAGAAAGAAACCAGTAAAAAGTGCCATTTTTCATTATTTACATGGGTTCTCACTACATGGGCCGACTCAGTTATCAAGTTAAATGACTGTTACATAATCAACTTATTGTTGGCTACAATTGAGTGAAGTTTGTATTAGATTGCTTGAAAATTGAGGGAGTTTTTAGTTTAAACTTTGTGTTGAAATCGTTTTTTTGTTCTTCGTGATTTTTTGCTAAACGCAGTGGTGTAGAAATAAAAATGAGATATCGTTGAACTCATCATGATATAAGTAACCTACATACTGAGTTTGAACAAAATAAGAGGAAAAAAGATGAATTTATCAATTTTTGATCGACTTTATCGATTATTTACTTTTTAAAAATTATCGATTTTTTATGCTAAGACCCTATCTCTTACATTGTACAATATATGTTCCAAATTTGATCAAAAGGTATCACGCAGACAGACACACAGACATCCTCTGTTTTTGTTATGGTAATTTACCCATGCACAGATGAACTCTCCCAGTTACAAATAAGAGCAGGTACTGCTTTTTAGAGAGTGCAATGTCCAGCAGTCAGCTCTGA